GTCTTGGGGCGGTTTGGGATTCCCGGGGGGGGGGGAGAAAGGGTGGACCTGGTGAACCCCCCCCCCCTCCCCCCCCTACCCCGGCAGAGCCACCCCGGCCCCCCCCAGCAGAGCTGAAGCTCAGGATGTAGCTTTCTTAAACTCACACGCCGGATTCTATCTGTTTGTAAACGCGAAAGGAGAAATGTTGCCGTCATGTTCCACAAAAGGAACCATTGTGTAAGCAGCCACAAGAGGAAGCTTGGAGTGATCGTCTAAGAGAAATAGACGCTTTCCTCACCGAATCAATAAGAGGAACAGCAGGGGGGAAAAAGACCAATAGGGAAATATGGAAATAACAGCCCATGGGTACAGGAGAGGAAAATGGGAAAACGTGCATCGACAATCGGCAGCCGATTGCACCCCTCTACAAAAGAACCATCTTTTTGCAATCCGCCACAAAAAATGTGTATTCCGCCACGTAAGGAATCATGTTGCAATGCTGCCAGATGTTTTATTAATGTCCTCGGCTCCCTTCAAGAGCTGTTCAATGTGTCCTATTGGCCGCTGTGTTTTCACATATTGTTTAACGTGTGTCTTGTTGGTTGCCCTCGTTTCCCCTTACTTGTTCGGGAAGGCAAGCGCCTTTTCCTTTGAGGTGATCACAAAAGGACTCAGTTCGCGGCTGCTTAGACAAGCAATCAATGTATGGTACATTGAAAACGAGTTCCTCTTGACGCGATTGCAAGAGGTGTCTTTTGTTGCCGGTTACACAAATTTTGATCGTCGCGGGATGCAAATACGTTATTTGTGTGGCGGGGGTACAGAAGAGTTCCTTACGTAGCGGAGTGCAAGTGGATTTTCGTATTGCCCCCCTCCTCCCCTCAAGAGTTGTTCATGTTGTCCTACGATGTGTTTTACATTGCGTGTCCAATATGTCCTCTCTTTTGTCGTTTCCCCTGTCCTTGTTCGGAGAGAACGGCGCCTTTTCCTCAGAGGTGACCACAACACGTTTTCTTGTGCGGCGGATTGCAATAATATTATTGTTGCGCGGATTGCAAAAGGAAAATTGTTGTCGCGCGTTACAGAGGATTTTTTGATGCGGGCTATAAATGCCTGGAGTGGTGGATTGCAAAGGGTTTCCGATGGGCGCGGCAATGTTTTCTAATTTTTTTCTCCCCTCCTACAAAAGGATAACTGTTGTGGCGGATTATTAGAGGATTATTATGATCGCGGGTCACACTCGGATTCCATCTGTGGAGCGTGACAGAAAGATTCCTGTTGTAGTGGGTTACACAAGGATTCCGGCTGTCGCGGCACATGTTCTTATTCTTCCCTTCCTCGCTCAAAAGTTGTCCAATGTGTAATGTTTTTTGTTGTGTTGTTTCAAACGGTTTTTGTGTTGTCCTGGATTGTCCCGTTTATTCATTTCCTTTCAGTTGTTCAGGGAGCGGGGCGCTTCGGATGCGATTGCAAACAGATTTTGGGTGGGCGGATTACAGAAGGATTCCTTTTGCGAGGATGGCACAAGGATTCTTGTTGTGGCACACTACAATCGGGTTTCCGCTGCCGCGCGGTACCAAAGGATTCTTTCGTGGAGAATTACAACAGAGATTATTTGTGTAGTGGATTGCAGAAGGATTCCGATGCTCACTACATTTGTTGTATGGTTTCCCCTCCTCCCCTCAAGAGCTGTGCTCAAGGTTTCTTATGATTCGTTGTGTGCTTTCTGGTTGTTTCATCATTGTGTCATGTTTTCCTTCTTTGGTGTCCTTCGTTTATTCGGGGAGGGCGGCTCTTTTTCCTTGGAGGCGATTACAACCAGTTGCGGCGGATTATACACGGATTCATTTTTGTGCGGATTACAGCAGGATTCGTTTTCGTGGTACATTACAAAAGGATTCCTATCGTCGCGCTGCACAAGAGGATTCTTGTCGAGGCGGGTTACAAAACGATTTGTTTTGCAGTGGATTGCATAAGGATTCCGATTGTCGCGGCAATTTGTTGTATGGATGTTTCTCTTTCTCTCAAGAGTTGTTTAATGTGTTCTCTTGTTCGCCGATTAGAGAATGCTTCCTAGTTTTACTTTGTTTCGTTTCTTCCTTTACTTGTTCGGGGAGGAAGGCGCCTTTTACCCCGAGGCAATTACGAAAAGATGCGCTATCATCCCTAAGCCGTGGTTCAGGGGGGGGAGATTCTCACAGGCCGCGTTGATCCCCATTCGGGGATTCGGGCATTCGTTCGCCTTGCGGCGGCTCTGCTTCCTCGTTCACCGCCCGGGCCCCGGGCGGGATGACGAGTTTCGGTCGTCGCGGGCGTGCCCCTTTGGTGCGCCCGTCGCTCGCCGGCGCAGCCCGCTCTGCATCTCTGACCAGAAAGCAGACACACTAGCATCTCTGATCTGCCTCCGCCGTGTCTTCGCAGTGCACCGTGCATGTGGCACCAATGTAGCGCGCGCTGTTCTTCCGTAGCCGGCTTGGCCCAGAATTACATCTGAGTTCATTGGCGGCAACCTCAAGAGATGGGAACAAGGCGTTGACGCTGGTGGTACAGCTGCTGCAAGTGAGTCGCCGGACCCAAGCGAAACCCGAGGGGCCGCGCCACGTGTTCTGAAGGAGTGATTCGCCGCCGCGCTCCGGCGCACGCCGCCGCAGTTCCATCCGGGAGTTCTGGGCGTCGTCTGAGACGCTCTGAATGACGGCAGCACCGTGAGCGGCGATGACCTCTGCGACATGGGTGCGCAGGAACTTCGGGGTCTGTCCAATGAGTTCTTGGTTGTTCTGTTCACACAATGGCGCGCCGCTGTGGTGGCAGCTTTTGGCTGTCCCCAGACGAGAACCAACCAAGACGTTGTGGCCGCGCCAGTGGCGCAGGGAGGCATCTTGGCGGTGAGGCAGCCGACAGCAGAAGCAGCGTTGACAGCACTCGGTTTTCTGGCCGTGGCCCGCCTGCGAAACACCCTTTTGGACCCCAAAGAGATGGCGGACGCCGTGCAGGCGTTCGGCCGCGTCACGCCTGAGAAGCTGAGGTTGGTTTGAGCGAGACGACGCGGAAGCGCCCCGGGCAACCCCAGGGAGCGGGCGGCACAGATGGAGGACAACATGTGTCAGTTCGACGCAACGCAGGAGTTGTTAAGACGCTGACATAAAAGTGTGCGGCTTCGGGACAGGTTGTCCAGAGCCCCCATGTGCGGGACGTGCTAGTGGATCCTTTGGTGGCGGACTCATTCGCGGTTGCGCGACACTTCTGCTTGCGCTTCGCTTCAAAGGTGGTGCCTTCGGATCGCGACGGGGAACGCTCAAGGGTCGTGGCGCCGGTCGACGAGGGACTCCCCAAAGTGTCTCTGTATCTCCACGCGCGGAAGATGCAGACCGAAACTGTGGTCGTGTCGAGGCGATGAAATTGCGCACTCCAGTTACGGCAGCTATGTGGGGCGCGCATCCTCCAACGCCGTTCCGGACAAGGTCCACTCATCACGGGCTTGTCTTACAGGGCGGCGATGGCCACGCTGAAGACAGCAGCGTTGGCGCTAGGCCCCCTGCGCGCATGCCCCGCAGAAGCTAGGCGGACGAGTGCTTGGCAGCGGGTGGCGTGCCAGCCCTCTTCCGCACTGGAGGGTGGCGCAACGTGGCCGCGTTCGGCTATGCTTCGGCAGCGTCCAGAGACGCCGTGGCCGCTGCCGGGTGGGATGCCGATTTTTCGGGCTCGTGTGCGTCCGACGGCGCGCCTTGAGTATTGGAAACATGAATGTGATTGCAGGGCATGTGTGCGTGGCATGTTTGTGCGCTTGTCAAAACGGCACGTGCTTTGTGCTCGCGTGGTCCACGCAGTCAGCGGTGGTCCTGGAAGCCCTGGGGCTCGATGGTGGATTCTGGGGTCCTCGTCGTCGTTGTCGACGGAATGGTGTTTCGCCACCGCTGGACAGTGGGCGCCACCTTTGTGCTCTAGCTCGCCGAGAGCCCCAGCGTTGGGTCTTGAGAGCTCATCGGGGGTCTCTCGGGCGTCCCCGTCTGGCCGAACGCGGCGCGTTGCCCGAAGGCCCGCGCGAACGCACTGGACCACCCCATGGAGAGCGGCCAGGCAAGAGTCTTCATCATCCCTAAACCTTGGTTCAGGGGCGAAGATTTTCACAGGCCGCGTTCTTCCCCACTTGGGAGTTCGGTGATTCGTTCGCTTTGCGGCTGCTCTGCTCCCTCGTCCACCGCCTGGGCCCGAGGCGGGATGGCAAGTTTCGGCCGTCGCGGGCGTGCTTCGTGGTGCGCCCTGCGGTCGCTGGCGCAGCCGGCTCTCCCACCCGCCCTCCCTGGGTTGGTCAGTGCGCTGGCCGGCCGGGGTCTTGAGTGTTCCTCGGGGGTCTCTCGGGCTTCACCGTCCGGCCGCACGCTCTGCGTTGCCCGAAGGTCCGCACCAGCGGGACCACCCCATGGAGAGCGGCCAGGAAAAATCTTCATGGCGGATTACAAGAGGACACCTTTTTGCGAGGATTACACAAGGACTTCTTCTGTGGCACATGACAAACGGGCTCTTGCTGTCGCGCGTTACAAAAAGATTCCTCGTGCGGCAGATTACAACAACATGTTTGTAGCAGCTTGTAGCTGGTATTAGACGATTTGCCGAAGAAGCAATGGAGAAACAGTTGAAGAGGAAAGCGATGATGCGAGCCCCAAAACTCGCACCCCACAAACCACCCGGCCCAGGAAAACAACGTTGTCCTTGGCGCGGAAAAATACAGAATCGGTAGGGAAAAGTGGGCGACCTAGTAGGCGCGCGGGTCGGTGCGAGGTAAACCTTCGAACGAGAGTCGGGTGCTGCTAGAATGCTAGAAGTGTCCGTGGCCCAAGGTGCCCTTCGGATTTCCAAGGAGGCCCCCTTGGCCTCCAGATCACCCCTCACGGGGCCCAGAGGATCCCACCGGCTCCAAAATTCAGCAAAATGTGGGGACACCGTGGTCCAAGGGCACCTTGCGCAACCCCGAGAGAGGGGGGCCCTCGCGGAAACGGGGCGGTCGTGGCCGCGCCCGAGGCAGTTGCTGGGCGCACGCCTCCCGGCTGGCAATGGAGTCCCGGGCGGAGGTCAAGGGGATGAAAAACATTGGGTGGTCGGCGCACCAGATCATCGCGTGCACGCCGAACCCGAAGCACTGTGGCGGCGAGGGCGGTTGCGAGGGGGCCACCGCCGAGCTCGCTTACGAGTACGTGCTGAACAAGGGCCTCCTGCAAGAGGCCGAGTACCGCGCCCAGGCCGGGGACGACCAGAAGGCAGAGTGCCCGAAGCCCTTAAAGGTGTCCACCGAGGTGGCCACCAGGGGCATCGTTGGCGCTGACGGCAGCGAGGAGCACCGTGGAAAGGCGCAGATGGCCGGTCGTGCCCTTGGCCTAATCGGGTGGACGAAGTTGCCTGAGAACAAAGAGGACGCGATCGTGCGGGAGCTGATGGCCAACGGCCCGCTGTACGTCGCGGTGGCCGCCGGCGACGGCTGGTTCGACTACAGTACGGGCGTCATGACGGAGGATTCGTGCGACAGGGATTTCATCGTTAACCACGCGGTGGTCCTCTTCGCCTGGGGCGTAAAGCAGAAGACGGTGCGCGGGCCGGTCAAGTATTGGCAGATCAAGAACAGTTGGGGCCCGCAGTGGGGGGAGAACGGCACGGGCCGCTTCATCCGATCGGACGCCGAGGACAGATTGCCAAAAACATTACAGCCAACCTCCACAATAAGGATGAGTCACTTTTCAAGGCTACCCTTGAATTCTTGCCCCCTCCGCCCATCCCTGGCCGCTTCCGCCGGCCGCCGCCGCGCCCCGCTCGAAGAGTGCCGGCTTGGCCCTCCAGAGCCCTTGCATCTTTGTCGCGCGTCCTTGTTCCACGGGCTGGCTGCGCACGAACATACAGTCGGGGCGCTGAAGAAGGAACCCTTTCCGTTGGGGAGGGGCTCGGTGTTCCTAGATTGTTGTGCAGCTTGCCTTGGGTCGCCCTGAGGTCTTCCATGGGAATCGAAGTTCAACTCTTGGGAAAAAGGGGCCTCGTTCCTTATTTTGGGTTCCTTAGGTCAGCGCCCCGACTGTACTTGCTGGACATCCACGGGCGATGTCCCCGCCGGCTCCGGGCCCCCTCCGCGCACCTGCCCCTGCGCTAGCGCAGGAGGCGCCGCCCGGGGTGCGCTCGGGGAGACAGCCCGGCCCTGGCGGGGAGACCGTCCGCAGACGTTTGGGAGTTTGTGTGTGTGTCTGGGCACTGGTAGACGAGTCGAGTCGAGGAGGAGGAGGAGGCGGAGGAGGAGGAGGAGATCCTGGCGTTGCAATGTTGTCGCAACGCGCGTCTTCGCTGAGTCTCGGGCCCCAGGACCCTCACGGCTCGATCCGGCTCGAAGCACGGCGCGGGGCTCGATCCGGCTCGATCCGGCTCGATGGGGTCCGGGGCTCCGGTCGTGACTTTTGCGACGTCGCCTTTTTGTTCGCGACGTCGGAGCTCAGGGATCGCCCTCATCGTCGTCGGAGGTCGGCGCCATGTGAGCGACGGGCGAAGGCGGGTCCGACCGCGCGGGCATCGGCGCAGAAGCTTCCCGCGCAGGGTAGCGCGTAAGCGCCCTCCTTGTCCACGCGGCTTGCCACACGGCGGCCAGCGCAAGTCGGGGCGGAAGGTCGTGGTGGTTTCTGGCGTAAGGCTTGTTTCTTTTCGTCGCCTGTCTTCAGTCTCGTTTAACCGACCCCCATCCCCATCCCCATCCCCTTCGAGACCCCCACCAAATTACCCCCCAGTTGGGGATACACCCCTCGAAACCCGGAGGAAACGACCTATATCCCCATCTACGGGGGCAACTCGGCCAGTGGGGCCCAGGCCACGCCTTTGGGGACGGGGATCGGTTGAACGATACTCGTGTCTGCGCACCAGATCACACCGATCCCTGCCAGGCCAGTCTTGAGATCAGAATCGGGGTGTACCTGCGCACGGCCGGGCCGAGGTGTAAGATCGGGATCGGCTCGGGGAGGGTGCGCTGATGTTCCTCGTGCTTGTTGGCTGCTCTTGTGCACCTTGCGGGAGGGTGTCCTCGAACGCAGATCGGTTGGCCAGCGGAGGGCCCCCTGCTCTTGAAGGATGCTCTTCTGCCCGGGGCCCGGCCGTGCTTGTGTGTAACGTGCTTCTGGCCAAGCCAGGAGAAGGCTTAAGTCGGGTCCGTCCCTCTACAGGAGGAATATTCAAAAATAGTCCAAAAATACTCTGGTGATTCTTTTTCGAGCATCTTTTACCATTTTGGAATATGTTTGGAGTGGTTTTTATTTTTCGTCGACAATCCCCCTGTAGGGGGACAGGCCCGACGTAAGAGGAGGCACCCACCGAGCCCGGGCCCAGGCCGGGCCCAGCCACGAGCGGCGGCAGCTGTCGCCCTCTTGCCTCGGAGCCGCCGGAGAGCTGGCGCTCCCGAGGCAGCCAACGCGCCAGCTTCGCCCGCCGGGCCCGGGGCCGCCAGAGGCAACAGACTGAAGTCGGGCCTGTCCCTCTACAGGGGGCATATCCAAAAATAGTCAAAAAAAATATAGTCAAAATATCAGAATAGTCAAATAGTCAAAATATCAAAATAGACTACAGACGGCAACAGTCGACTACACGTAAGAATGACCTTTTGGTGCGGGCCCAGTGAGGTCCCCCGATCGCCGAGCGCGGTGCGGTAGTAGCGCCCTTCGCACTTGCGTTTGGTTCCGCCGCGGCCCCCAAAAGCCCGCGCACCAAAGGTCACTCTTGCCCAGGGACGCTCTTGCGAGTAGTCGGAACAGACTGAAGTCGGGCCTGTCCCTCTACAGGAGGCATATCCAAAAATAGTCAAAACAAATAGTCTGGGGGCCATTTTGTGCAGCATGTTCCAATCATATGGCTGAGCATGTGTTGCACATGTTTTATGCTTCGTCAAAAGTCCGCCTGCAGAGGGGGACATGCCCGACCTAAAAATAGACGATGGGTGTCGAGGCTCGATGTGTTCGGAGGTCTTCGCCGTTGCGTCGCCAGTTTTCCAGCCTCGGGCTGGGGGGGGGTACGAAATTTGCTGCATGCAGCTGGTTTCGGCCTCACCGAGGGGCCCATTCCTCGATACATGGCCGCCTCCAGCGCCGGGAGGCGCCGGGAAAATCAGCTACGTGAGCTGATCCTCAAACCCCCCCTTTGCTATCCGCCCCTTTCGCCCGACCCGAGATGGGTTCGGAGGTATTCGTCGGTGCGTCGCCAGTCTTCCAGCCTCGGGATGCCCCCGGCGGCGGCGCCCTGCCGAGAGCGGCCCAGGGATGCCGAGCCTCCTCCCGAGCGGCCGCCGAAGAGCCCAGCTCCTCCTCCGCCTCCTCCGCCTCCTCCCCCTCCTCCTCCTCCTCCTCCTCCTCCTTCTCCTCCTCCTCCTCCTCCTCCTCCTCCTCCTCCTCCTCCTGCTGCTCCTGCTCCTCCTCCTCCTCCTGCTCCTCCTCGTCATCGGACCCCACGGCCAAGACGCTGAAGCGAGAGCCGATTTTGATTCGAGAGGGGCTCGCTGTTCCTTCCCAGAGATCCAACGCATTGAAAAAATCAAGACGGAGGTTTGGCGCAAATTTCGGCTCCTGGGGGCCCTCGCTGGGCCCCAGGACCGTCAAAAAACGACTCAGGATGAAAAAACCGGTCCTGGGGAATGGGTCGAGACTTCCGTGGACCCCGCATTGAAGAAATCACGATATCGGATCTCTGGGTTAGGACGTTCCGTGGTGGTTGTTCTAGCCTCTCCTCGTGCACCCAGGCCCCTTTGGTGCCAAAAAGGGGTCTCGCTCCTCATTCAGCGCTCCTGATTTCAGCAGCCCGACTGTAGCGCTTCCCGCCCTCGCCCCACCTGGCCGCCGCCGGCGTCGGACGCTCGTGTTGCAGTCGGAGCTCGAGGATGAGGCCCACTGCGGTGCTGGGAAGGGGGCTCGGTCAGTGAGCATTCCCCGTGGCGCTCCTGGTGCACCTGGGCGCGGCTCGGGCCTCAAGGTGAGCTCGTCGCTCCTCTGCCAGGGAGGCCCCCCAGTGGCACAACTTTTTGGCTGCACCCCCACCCCCGCGCCCGGGCGACGACAGTTAGCCAACTCACAGCTCATATCGATCATGGCCAGGCCCATCCTGGGCCCAGGATCGGACCGGCCAGGTCAGCCGACCTCGCACGACGCGTGCGGGCCCCTCCAACCCTCGTCCAAGAGGCCTCATGAGGAGTTCAGGCGGCGGACCTATTGGAGGCCCCCGGCGGCAGTTCCCCGAGGCCTCCACCCCCATAGGCCCAGGAAAGGGCCACGAGCATCCAATGACGTCCACCCCCGCCCCCTTCCCCTTCCTACCTCTCCCACCCCTCCTCCCCCTTCCCCTCTTGCTGTCCTCCTCCTCCTCCTCCTCCTCCTCCTCCTCCTCCTCCTCCTCCTCCTCCTCCTCCTCCTCCTCCTCCCCCTCCTCCTCCTCCTCCTCCTCTCTCCTCCTCTCCTCCTCCTCCTCCTCCTCCTCCTCCTCCTCCTCCTCCTCCTCCTCCTCCTCCTCCTCCTCCTCCTCCTCCCCCGCCCCCTCCCCCCTCCCCCTCCCCCCCCTCCCTTTCACACCCTCCTCCCCCCTCCTCCACCTCCTCCCCCTCCTCCCCCAGTCCTCCCCCTCCCTCCTCCTCCTCCTCCTCCTCCTCCCTGCCCCCCCTCCCCCCCCCTCCCCCCCTACTACTCCTGCCCCCCCCCCCCCTGAGGAGAAGGTGTGCGGCTGGGACGAGAACCTCAGGACGGGTCCGCTGCGACGGCGGCCCCGAGAGGGTGTGGGTCTTCGGCGCCGCGCCAAGGGAGGGGAAGGGGAGGAGGAGGAGGAGGAGGAGGAGGAGTGGAGGAGGAGAGGAGGGAGGAGGAAGAGGAGGAGGAGGAGGAAGAGGAGGAGGAGGAGGAAGAGGAGGAGGAGGAGAGGAGGAGGAGAGGAGGGGGCGACGGGAGCGGCCTCCCTAGGGGGCGGGAGCCTTCCCAGAGCTCCGACCATCTGATTGCTAAGGCCTCCTCCTCCTCCTCCTCCTCCTCCTCCTCATCATCATCATCATCAGCAGCAGCATCATCAGCATCATCCTCAGCCGCAGCCGCAGCCGCAGCCGCAGCCGCAGCCGCCTCCTCCCCCATCCGTCTCCTCCGCCCCCTCCGCCTTATCTGCCTCCCTCCCTCCCTCGTCCTCGCCGTCCTCCCCTTCTCAGCCACGCGCAGAAGGGGGTAGAGGGAGGGGGGAAGGCTTCTCAGAAGCGCCGCTGCTTCTCAGAAGGCGCGGGCCTCGTCTCAGCAGATGTAGAGCCGGCGCCTTCTTAGAAGCAGCCTCCTTCTAAGAAGCTTCCCCCCCTCCCCCTGCCCCCCTGTGCGCGCCGCCAACTTGCGGCTGGTGCCGCCGACCCTGGACGACGACCCCCAACGGTGGAAGAGGCATTCGGGAAGGTCCCAGGAGTGCCTACGAGGTTGCACGAGGCCCCCAAGAGGTGCCCAAGAACGCCGGGGGGGGGGGGGGAGACGGGGCCGAGACCTCCGACGATCGGCTGTTCGTCAAGCCGGGTGCTGCTCCTCGCTTTCGGCCTTTGGGGCCTGCCATCGGGCCCCGTCGGGCGGGGCCAGGACGCGCTCCGGAACGCCCCCAGAGCGTCCTGGAACGCTCCCAGAGGGGCCGCGGCGCCCGATGCATCCTCCAGAGACGCCGGATCTCAGAGATTGTGGGTTCATCCCCACCCTGTCCTCGCCCTGGCTTCGTCTTGACATGGATCCTGGACGAAAAACTGCCCCAAGGGAGTTGGTCGGGACCCCTGGGGCCGCGGACTGAAGAAGCACATCGGCGGACCAGGGGGGCCGTCTTCTCCCTGCAGGTCTCGAGGCCCTCGGGTCTCGAAGAAGCCTTCTTCCTTAAAATCCTCGCATGTCATTATTTGCACACCGGGCGCCTTCGCCGTGTTTCGGGCCCCGGGACCGTCACAGGTCGATCTGGCTCGAAGAATTCAGCTAAGGTGGGGCCGAGGGCGACGGTCGTGAGTTTTCGCCATGTTGCATCTGCTCAGCAACGTCGGACCTGAGGGTTCTCAGCAGTGCCTGGAGGTTTCGAAGAGGCCTTCTCGGAAGCCCCCCTGCACCCTGCCTCCTTCGAGTAAGGGATCGACTACAGAGTTCATGAACCCCCACTTTGATATCTCCGTTGCATCTACAACAAATACACGGAATGCCCCGTCACTCTACGGAACCGTCTATGCATTTGCTCCGCAGACTCGACGAGCAATAAAAATTCCGGGGGTCGTCAATTCTGTAGCCGATCCCCTACTCGACTCCTGAGGAGCCCCCCCGCCTCCTCTGGAGGCCCCCCGCGGTGGGTCGCCCCCTCGCGCCTCGCGCCCCCTCGCGCCGCCTCGGCGCGACGCGCGCTGGAACCACCACCACCCCGAGCGCCAGCGTCCCGAGCCTCTGTCGGCCTTTGGTTTTTGGAATTCAAAAACCCTCGTTATTTAATTCAAAAAGTCAGTTTCTGGGATTAGGCAAACCTGTTTTTGGAATTCCAGAACCAGTTTGTTGAGTTCAATACAAGGTTTTTCGAATTCAAAAACCAGTCTCGCCCTCCAAGGCCAGGCCCTGCGGAGCGGAGCGAGGCGCCGTACTCTCGCGCAGGCACGGCGCGCCGCCGGGGCCGCCACCGCAGCGCGCGAGGCAGGAGCTCCCGACCGCACGCCTGCCTCCCGAGGGCGCCGCCCGCCCCCGCCCCCGCCCACCCCGCGTTCGCACGCCCGCCGAGGTCTGCGGCACGTGCGGCATCCTCTACGACGTCGTGGCGCCGCACTTCTGAGGTGCATGGGCGCTCTGGAGTTTCCAGAGCCAGCGCCGTTTTCCGCCCGCCTCTCCCCCCCTCGGCCGAGGAGGAGGAGGCGGAGGAAGAGGTGGAGGGGGTGGAGGCGGAGGAGGAGGCGGCCGAGGAGGCGGCCGAGGAGGCGGAGGGGGAGGAGGAGGAGGAGGGAGGGGAGGAGGAGGAGGAGGAGGAGGGAGGAGGAGGAGAGGAGGAGGAGAGGAGGAGAGGAGGAGGAGGGGGAGGGAGGGGAGGAGGAGGGAGGGAGGGGGGAGGGAGAGGAGGAGGAGGAGGAGGAGGAGGGAGGCGGAGAGGAGGAAGAGGAGGAGGAAGAGGAGGTCGCCCCGCAGAGAGTGGGTCCCTGGTGAAAGTGGGTCCTGAGTTCTCTGTGCCGTCCCCGTGGCCTGCCGGGTGGCCCTCCGCGGGGGGGGCCTTCTGCGCCCGGGGGCGGTCGGGGGAGTCGCAGTGTGGGGGGGGTCGCCTAGGGTGGGGTTAGGGAGCATACCCAGCTGGATAGTCACATGGGCGACGACCTCCTCTCCCCTCCCCCTCCCCCTCCCCCTCTTCCTCCTCCTCCCTCCCTCCTCCTCCTCCCTCCTTCCTCCTCCTCCTCCTCCTCCTCCTCCTCCCCTCCTCCTCCTCCTCTCCTCCTCCTCCTCCTCCTCCTCCTCCTCCTCCTCCTCCTCCTCCTCCTCCTCCTCCTCCTCCTCCTCCTCCGCCGCCCTGTGGAGGAAGCCCGCCGCCGCTGGATAGTCACATGGGCGACGACCCAAAAAATGGGCCCCACTGCGCCAACGTTGACGCATAAGCTCCCCGCGTAAGGTCCAGCGTGTAAGCGCCCTCGTCTCCGATGTGGCGTGCGGCGCTCGCGGTCCGCCTAGACCGCGGCGTAAGATCGCGATGCCATCTCGCGTAGGTCGAAGAAGAAAAAACGCCATAAACATAAACTTTTGGCGCTCCCCGCAGATTTCTTGGATCCGCGCTGGACCCCCCCGGCGGCGCGTCCGGCGCCGCCCCTGGCGCGCTGGGAGGGGGGTCCAGCGCAGATCCCAGAAATCCGCGTGGAGCGCCAAAAGTTTGTGTTTATGGCGTCTTTTCTCCTTCTAGTAAGACCCGTTTTCGATCGTCGTTCACATGTATTTCCTGCACGGGCCGTTTTGAGCAATCTTCCTCCCAACCCCACCTCTGCCCGTACCCCATCTTTGCGCCCCCCCCGAGTCGCATGTCCTTCCTACGCGGGCCGTCATGAGCGATGCTCCTGTGGCCCCCACTTCTGCCCCATACCCCGGCTCTCTGCGTCCCCCCGGAGCGCGAACAGGAAAGCCTCGGTCGGCGACTACAAAGGGTATGGTTACGCAGGGGTGTGGTTTGCGATCGGCGCCGTTGGGGCCTCGTGTGCACGACACTGTCCTCGCTGGGCCTCCTCGGGGCGCGGCGGAGAGCTCCGTCGAGGTCCTCGCCCGTCCCCCAGGGTGCCCCCCAGGGTGCCGGTTGCAAACCACACTCTTTGCAAACCACACCTTTCTTTTGATCACCTTTCCTCCTCCTCCTCCTCCTCCTCCTCCTCCTCCTCCTCCTCCTCCTCCACCTCCCCTCCTCCTCACCCTTCCTCCTCTTCCTCCTCCTCCCCCTCCTCCTCCTCCTCCTTCCTCCTCCTTCCTCCTCCTCCTCCTCTTCCTTCTCCTCCTCCTGCTCCTCCTCCTCCTTCTCCTGAGGAGGACGACCCCCCGCACGGAGAACGGTGAGCAGGATGAGGGTTGCCGCACGTGGCGGTCGCTGGCCTGCGCAGCGACCGCGCGGCGCCCTCAGGAGCGCCGCGACTTGGTGGACCGCTTCTTCTTCTTGAACGACTGCTGCACCTTCAGGTACTTCAATCGCGCGAGGCCGGTGCATCCCACGCCGGTAGAACTTAGCTTCGATTTCCTGGTCTAGCCTCTTCAAACCTTGTCTGGGACACTTGCTCAGGCCCATAATCACTTGGAGGGACTTCAGGCGCTGCTGGAACGAGGGCTCGCCCGCCCGCTCGGCGTGGCTCTGGACCAGCTCGATCCCCTCCTTGATGCCCCTCTTGGTGGGCCGGACGCACAGGGCCTCAGCGGCGGCCACGCCGCTGAACTTGAAGGCGTGCAGGCCGACCATGTTCGCAGGGTCGGCACAGAATGGCCTTCTCAAGATCTGCCTGTCTGGTCTGCGAATGAAGGAGGACGTGTGCTTGACGCACTCCCAGATCAGGTCCGGGGGCGCCGCGCCAGATGGCCTCGGCAGCTTCCGGCCCTGCACCGGCTGCTGTGGCGCCGCTGGTCGGGCCAGCGCCTTGGCGGCCTTGCTGCTGCCGCCGAGGAGGCGGCCGAACACGCCCCTCGGGCCGCCGGGGGTGGCCTCTGGTTGCGCCTGCGGCGACGCCCGCGGCTTCGCGGCCGCCGGCTTCGCGGGGGCGGCTGCCGGCTTCGCGGGGGCGGGGGCGGCCAAGAACGTGCATTGGGCGAGCTGCGGCACCCGCGCCGGGGGCGCGGCCGCAGTGGGCTCGGGGGGCGCCTCCTCCTCTTCTGGCGGCGCGTCCTCCTGCCACTGCTCCTCCTCGCCGTAGCCGCCCCCGCCCAGCTCCTCGGGGGCCGGCGCGTCCGGGAAGTGCTCCTCGATGAGGGCCCTGAGAGGCTCCTTGACCTGCTGGTTCTGGTCGGGGGCCCCCTTCACCACGATCTGCCCCTTCGCCTGCAGGGCTGCGATGGTCATGTTCCCGTGCTTCTCCCCGAGCTTCCGCAGCTCCGGGGCCAGGCCCCGCACGAGCGACCGCGGCCAGTAGGCCTTGTCGATGTGGACGATCAGCTCGTCGTCCCCCATCGCGCCAGGCCGGCCCCCCGATCGGGCCCGCGCGTCCGCGCCCCCGGCCTCTCCTCTCAGTGGCGTGGCTGGCTGTATCACGGGCCGGCCACTGCGTGAGATCTTCTGGGCCAGCCAGCGAAGCGCAAGGTCGCCCTTCGCGTGGGCCCGCCGTTGTAGGATTGTTTGGCGGCAGCGCACCCTGGAGAGCTGCGAGGCCGTAAGACTCACTGCTGGCAGCCAGCATTGTTATGCGATGGTCCTCCTCCTTCTCCTCGGGGTGAAGAAGCCCGTCCTCGAGAAAGCCCCGAGTCCAGGACCCGCTTCCTCCAGGATCCCTTGTTGCCTTGATTGGTGCCAGGAGCAGAGGGTGCACTGCTGCCCTTCCTTGTCGGGGGCGGC